CCACTTTCTCTTTTGCCTTCTGCGTTTACTTTTTTCTCTTTCTTACTTCACGTAACCGACCCAGCAGGGACTGCTAGGGCAGGATACGTGGGCATTAATTGGTTGGACAGGGTGTGATGCGGTCTTTGTTTTAGGTCCATCAGTATTTCAAAGTTCGCTAACTCCTGGTTCAACGACCCGCCGAAGAAGGAACACTCACGGGATCTATCCTATCGTTCCAGTCCCGCTTGAACTTGAACTTGAGGTATTTGTCAGAAGAAGAAATGCCCACCAAAGCCAGCATCACCGGAACGAGACAAGCCGCCTGCTCGCAACCGCTGCCTGATAATCACAAACGTCCCAGAATCCAACAAAGAGACCCCAGCTAAAAGGATGCTCGACGACAAAGCCTTCTTTAAACGAATGTTCTCCTTGTTGTTTGATGAGCGTGAGGAAGGAATAAACCTAATCTCTGCTTTTCTCCTTGGCAGAAAACAAGTGAACCCAGCCAAGTTTCGTCCTCTGAAAATCGTCTGTCAGGATGAAGAAGAATGCCAACGCATCTTGAGACGGACCCCGCGCCTCAACGTTGAAACCTACGTACTGAAAGACCTCTCCCCGTAGGACCGAGTCCGAAGGGGACAAGCTGTCTGCGAGTTGCAAACCCGACGCGCAAATGGAGATACAGATCTACACGTAGCGGATTTTCGCTTAGTCAAAAAGACTCAGAGCTCCATGGAGGCCAGTTCTCCTTTTTCCAGGACCTCAAACATAAAGTACGGACTACGGGTAATACTCGCGAATGTGCGCAGTCTGAGAAACAAGCTGGATGAGATTCCACTCCTTATCTCTGAACAGCACCCAGACCTAATGGCGTTCACCGAAACCAGGCTGTCATCTGATATATCTGACTCGGAGGTTCATGTTTCGGGATATCAGCTACTGCGATGCGATCGCTTTGGTGGTAGGTCTGGAGGCGGAGTAACCCTCTACACAAAGAACCACCTCAAGACCCACATTGTCGAACCCGATTGTGACAATGATGATATGTCGGAAATGCTCTGGTGTCAAATTCATGACGGATACCAATCGCTGATGGTCGGGGTGGTCTACAGAGCCCCTGCCGCACCTGGCTCACACCTATTACGTTCCGTACGAACCCACAGCAGGGGAACAAACTGTCTCCTTATGGGTGACTTCAACACCCCCGACATAATCTGGGACCTTCTTCACAGTGATCTCTCACCTGAATCCTTTGAAGTTGATCTCCTTGATACCGTCCACGAGGGTAACCTGACACAGCATGTCTTGACAACAACGCGGATGGCCCTTGGTCAGACACCAAACATTCTCAACCTGGTTCTCACTTCGGCACTATCTGATGTCTCACGTCTAACGATCCTCCAACCTCTTGGGAAAAGTGATCACTGTAGTCTCCTTTTCGTGGACACGACGCCTCACAATCCACGATCAAGGGACTACGTCGAAATTTCTGGCGCACTGACCAACCCAGATTAAGAACGACTGCAAGTAACATGGACTGGAGTATTCCGCAACCCTTGAAGCTTGATGGCACGTGGGAACGCGTGCGATCTATGATGATGCAGGTCATTGAACAGTTTGTTCCAATCTGCAAGAGCAGACCACCATCCAAAGGACCTCCATGGATTGATAATGAAGTAAGATCCCTAATGAAAGAACGACGAAAACTGTTGGATCATTTCAAGAGCACAGGACTGACATGAAGCTACTTAGAGTACAAAACTGTCAGAAACCTATGCACCCTGAGAAAGCAAGACAAAATACTACAATATGAACATGGACTAACCATGGAATCCCAAAACTGTTCCAAGAAACGTTTTGCCTACTTGAAGCGAAATGCCAAAAATGGTAGTGGAATCCACACTCTATCCTCTTCCAAGGAAGGTACCGTTCTCTACGCGATGATGAAAAGCAAACCTACTGGCTGCGCTATATTCCTCGGCCTACTCAGTGGAGTCACCACTGCTCAACAACTGTTTGCCTGCACACTACTCTATGGACCAAGTTGAAATTCACCCCGAATTAGTCACTAAGCTACTCTTCGAACTGAACCCGAACTGCTCCCCAGACCCGGGCGGATTGCATCCCAGCTTCCTCAAAATGATAGCTGAGTACGTCGCCACCCCTCTCTGCCAAGTGTTTCGGCAATCCCTCGAAGTCGGCTGCTTACCCACAGACTGGAAAGCAGGTACCGTCCTGCTCAAATGCAAGGGGGGAAACCCACAAGACCCAGCCAACTACCGACCAATATGTCTGACATCAGTCGTATGCAAAACCATAAAACAAATAGTCAAGTGCGCCCTCCAGCTACACTGTGTGAATCTAAACGTCATCTCACATGCTCAACATGGCTTCTAGAGAGCACGCTCATGCATCACTAACTTATCGCTAGGGAAACATGGGCAGAAGCCATAGATGCCCGAAAACAAGCTGACGTACTATTCATTGACTTCAGCTAAGCCTTTGATAAGGTTCCACACGTACGACTGCTACGTAAACTCCAGTGGATTGGCATTACAGAAAATCTTCTCTCCTGTATTGACGATTTCTTAAGAGGTAGGACAATGCGCGTACAAACGAACCAAACCCTATCTGCTCCAGTGCCTGTGACTAGTGGCATTCCCCAAGGATCCGTGCTTGGTCCGGAACTCTTCGAACTGTACATTAACGATCTGCCGACTGCACTTCAAACCGACTGCTTGATCTACGCCGATGACCTCAAGCTATGGTCAACAGTATCCAGCATTGAGGATGCGGACATTACAAGAAGCTCTAGACCAGCTACAGGAATGGTCCATCAAGTTGGAACTGTCAGCAAACCGAGATAAATGCGCTGTTCTCCCAATGGGTAGCACTCAAACGTACGGTGCATACCACATTGGTGGGTTTATCCTCAGGAATAACATCCACGAGAGAGATCTCGGGGTTATCATGACTTCTGACCTTAGAACGACGCAGGAAACGTTGAAGAAGGTGGTCACTGAAGGAGGCTGGTGGGTGCTTTAAGATCATTCGCTCGAATGACTGCTGAGATTTTTCGACCTTTGTTCACCTCGTACGTCCGTCCAGTATTAGAATATGGCCTACCAACTAGTCATCCGCTGTCAAAGTTTGAATGCGCTCTGCTGGAAAACGTTCATAGACGTGCATCGAAAGCTGTTCTGGGACTTCTTGTTCTCCCGTACCCCATTCGACTCCAGCAGCTAAATCTCGAGCTCCGCCGTCGCCGGCGTGATCTCATCTACACTAGGCGCATCCTCCGAGGAGAACTTGGAAGTGCGTTACAACAATTCTTCCGGCCCAACACTGACTGTTCCACACGAGGTCACACATGGAAACTGTTTAACCAAAGAAGACAAAATTCGCATGGACGTCACCCTATCCACTAGAGTGGTGAATGATTAGAACAGCCTACCGGAAGAAATTGCAGACGCTCCATCCGAGGAAAGTTTCAAGCTGCTGATAGACAAACATTCGCTGAGAATGCTGGAACTTTTCGGCTGTCACTGCAATTGCGACAAACCCTCGAGGAACGTCGTAATGCAACGACACGCATCAAACCCAGTATGATACGGAATCGATGGGGCTGACAAGGGGTTTCCCTTTTGCTCTCAACAACTCAATGAACCATTACCCTCATATTTCTCTCCGGCACTTTCCTTCATTCTTCCCTGTTTCCTTAGCTGCTTCCTTCACATTGGCCTCCTAGGCGGCTCGAGTATCCAGCTTGTCGCACTACTTGGACATGGAAAAACAGAACGCTGGACCGAAAGAATATTACACTGCACCCGCTGTTCCTCAAGACCGTGACAGACTATATTGGTGCACCCGTCAGATATTTCGTCACTCTCTGGAAGCAGGACGACTCCCGGTTGCTTGGAAATTCGGGACCGTTAAACCTATATACAAGGGAGCGGATCGTCAAGATCCTGCGAGCTATCGACCTGTCT